TGTGTTCGTTTAACATCTTCGGATCGACTGGCCAAGGTTGGCAAGGTCTTTCTCCACCTCCAGTCCCTGCTGTCCCTCTCCGGGCCCACTGCTGACACCTGCTCAGCCTTCTCCGTCAGTTCTGCTGGAACTCGCGAGCCCAGCTCCTCACTGAAGAGTCGGCGTCCTCTTGTGACTGAGCTGCACCTGCTCCCTTGGCGAAGATGTTTTTCTTCTTTCCTTAGCGTTACTCTGCTCTTTCAGTAACTTCTTAGTTTGAATGTTCATTTTTCAGTCTTATGTTCTGGCAGTGCCGTTAGGGCCATGACTAGCTCGCGGACGGTATTGAGCTACGTGTCACAATCGTGATGTGAACATCGTGTTTTAGTTGTAAGCATTTCCTAATATTTATGATTTCTTCTTTGGCCCATGAGTTGGTGTGTTATCATTTCAAACGCAGAGACACTCAGTCCTCTTTTTATCAGTTTTTAACAAACTGCCGCAGTAAGGAAAGCAGGCCTGCCGGCCCAGTGCTGACGCCTGCCGGCCCAGAATCAACGTGATTTTCAACGGGTGCTGAGTCCGCCTAGACGGCCGCCCCGTCTGGAATGGAGTCTTCTCCCCGGGCCGTGCAGGGCTCCATCGGCGTCCGCTAGACCAAGCTTGTCAACCGCGTTTTCTCGACTGATTTTCTCTGCTCCTCTGCTGGGTTTCAGGAAGATGCGTCACAGGGCCCACCGTGTTGACACACTCATTCACGACCCCTTGTGGTTCAGTCCATTTCTACGTTAGACAACTTTAAATTAGTTTACTAAATATAGGCACTTACAGTCATTGCGTTCTTCTTTTTTTTGGAGAGGTTTTTGCTATAGGGCACGTGCACTCGCCAGACAGACAGAGACAGAGAGACAGCAAGAAATCACCCCCCACGGGGAACGGCCATGCCGCAATCCCTTCTCCTCTATTCTCCTCTCGGGATCTTGGGCACACGTGCCCGGCGTGAATTTTAAGCCACCGGGTCTGGGACTCGAATGGTGGTCGACTACGTGGGAGTCCCGCGACATAGCCATTACGCTAACTGCTGGTCCCTCATTGCGTTCTTCTGACAGCTGGAGTTTGACCGTGCGCAATGGCCTTCGCCCAGCATGGCCCTCTCCACAGGGCTTCTGTGCCAAACGTGTGAGGCGTCCCTGAGCCTCGGCCGGCCTGTCTGGCGGTCAGCTCCTTGAGGCCCGGCCTCCCTGAAGGCACGCTGTTACTGTTTTTTTGTATTAGCCCAACCACCTTCTTTTAAGTGGAAACTCTGACCGTTACTGTTCATCTGGTTACATTTTTTCAGATTCACTTTTGCCATGTCTTTGGCTCTCCGCCCTGTTTTCTGTAAATTCGTTTTTTTCCCTTGCCTTGCCTTCCCTTGGGGTGACTGGGAGTCCCTTGCGTTCCTCGTTCCCCTTACTGAGTAGAAAGGAGAAAAATCCGCAGCCCGCTTCCTGTTTCCCAGTAGCGATCCTTACCATTAAACATGCATCCCTAACCACCAGGCAGCCCCGCACCATCCCCACGCAGGCCAGACTGGACATCCCTTCCGGGAAGGTACTTGCTTACAGAAGTCCCAGCTAAGGAGCCCTGGACGTTTCGCGCCAATGCCGGCAGCTCCAGCCCTGGTGGACTCGCAGCCGTGCGCCCGCCGGGCAGAATCTGCATGAACAACCGCTCCAGTGCTCGGAGCCCGGTCGGTCCTGGTCGGCCCAGGTCTTGCTTTGTGTACGCCATGTCCTTGCTCATTGCTCCTCACGCCCAGACTGGCCCCAGGACCGTTCTCCCGCACGGGTGTGTCCCGCACACTCCATCCCTCGGGGAGAGGCCCCTCGGCAGCTCCCCATGTGCTGGTCGGGCCAGGCTGTCTGCTTCGCCTGCTCCTCAGTGACGGTCCCGTGGGCGTACAGTTCCGGATTACTGGGCATGTCCCTCGACGGGAAGGGATCAGCTCTGCTGCTCCTGGCTCCCGTTGCCATGGGCAAGCTGGCGTGTGTCTGGCCGCTGCCCCTTCGAGAGGCATTTCCTCCGCTGCTTTCAGAGCGTTCTGTCTTCGGTGCTCCGCAGTTTTGCCGCTGCGCCTCGCTACGGGCTTCTGCTTCGACTTCCATGCCTGGATCCCGTTCCTTGTTACCCTCTCCGAGCAATCAGCAGCCATGACTCCTGCAATGACGCTACTCCCTGTCTCTGTGCCTTCAGCAAGTGTGGGGACACGGCCTGGCCGCCGGCGTTCCCTCACTCCCAGCTTCCAGGTCACGAGGGCCGTCCTGTGCCGGTCTCTGAGTTTCTCGCGTCCACCGTAGCTCCTACGCTTCGTTCCTGAGACCTGTCCCCACAGCTGCAGGCCGGGCTCAGCGACCTCTCCTTCTCCCGTCCTACATAATGCCCTACTGCTATTTTTTCTTTTTAAAAGTTTTTGCCTTAGGACACGTCCACTCGCCGGAAAGAAAAAGAGACAGAGACAATGAGAGGCAGAGTGAGAAATCAGCCCCCCAGGGGATATGCCCATGCCGCAGTCCCTTCTCCTTCATCCTCTTTCTGGTGTCCTGGGCACGCACACACACGCACCCAGCATGATTTTCAAGCCACTGGGTCCAGGACTCAAATTGCAGTCAGTGTGGGAGTTCAGTGGCATAACCACTGTGCTGTCTGCTGGCCCCTAATCCCAGTACACGTGCAGCTTGTCGGCTTTATTATATCTGACCACTTCAAACACTGCTCTCTTGAGCTAAATCTGCATTTTTGATTAAATTTTTATTTTTTGATACCTTTAGATTCACAGAAGAGCTGCAAAGATAGAAACTAAGCCCATCTGTGACCCCAGGAAACTTCTCTGTTAACGTCTCTGGCCTGAGCACGAGTTGCAGCTCACATCGCTGCGGGCGGGACCAGAGCGCATTCAGGCGTCACCGGCGTTGCCCGCCGGGTCCCCCAGGCTCCCACGTGGCACACAGCCGATGAGTGTGCTCGGTCTCTGACAGTCCCCACTCTCCACATCTGCCCTGACGCTGACAGCTGTGAGGTCGCCTCCCGTGGACAGGGCAGAGCCACTCAGCACCTCCGCGAGGGGCACGTGCTGGCCACGCATGCTGCCAGGTTGGCCTGGTCCGCTCAGACAAAGGGTGGGAAGCCGTGTTGTCCACTGCCCACTGCAGCTCTTCGAAGGGGGTCCTTGAGTCCCACCTAGATGAGAGGGCTGGGGAGGGGTGGGCACGTCGGGCCTTGAAAATGCTTCCCTAAGGAGGCTCCTCTGCTCCCCGGTGCGTGCCTGGGGGTTTATCTGTGTCGGTAGGACTGGGGCGCTCCCGCGCGTTGGCAGGGTACGCTGTCCCAGGCTTTGTCATTCCACCCACTCTGGCTGCAGCCACGGCACCCCGAGGCTCCTGTGTCCTTCCTGCCCCAGGGGCCGTCCTTGGAGCACACTGCAGTCCGCAGCACTCCTGGCCCCCACAGCCATCCCCACTGCAGCGGGACGGCTTCTCCGTGGCGCCCCGCATCCTTTCTTGGGGTCTCTCCTATCCCAGGGTCATGCAGGCTGCTTCCGGTGGTATATTTTTTTTCAGTTGGGAACTTGTGCTTCTTCAAAATAAGCCAGCAGCCCCCGTCTGCAGCTGGTTCGCGGGAGAGGAACACACCTCACACACGGGTCTGCAGCCACCCCTGCCATGCATCTGGGCGTCGTGGTCGCAGCTGCCCCCAGCAGTTCTCAGAGGACATCATCATTGCTACCCAGAGCTGAAGCGTGGCCGCAGCTCTTCCCACCGAGTCCCCTGGGAGAGGCTGCAGGCGTGTGTGTGTCCGTGCTCATGGGCCTGCCCTCTCCAGAGCGCGTCCTTCAGCCCCCGGCACAGGTCAAGGTCTGGCCCTGGCTGTCTGGGGACGGTGGTGCTCACTGGTCTGCAGGGTCAGGTCCGGCTTTGCTCTGTTCGTTCTGGAACCCAGAAGACCCCGCCCCACTTTGGCAGGCTTGGCCAGCGGCTTAGCTTCTGCTACTCATGTTGTCAGGACTATGGCCGTCGGCCACGGGACAGTCGCGGTGCTCCGCTTCTCGGCTGCCTGTGACTACTCGTGTTGTCAGAGCTATGGCCGTCGGCCACTGTACGGAGTCACGGCGCTCCGCTTCTCGGCTGCCTATGACTACTCATGCGTGTGGGCCCGTCTGTACCCAATGCCAGTGCAGGGGAGATGGCGCAGGGGTCCCCTCCGGGAAAGGGCTGCTCACTGATGGCCTCCTTCCCCCTCCTGCCTGTTCCTGGGGAAAGCCACTCGTTCAACAAGTCAGGGGAAACTGGGATTAAAGTGTGAGTGCATTTAGGTACAAAGAATATTTTGAGGGCCGGCTTTGTGGCCTGGTGAGTAAGGCAGCCACATCCCACATAGCTGACCACGTGGTTCCAGTCCCGGAGCTAGCAGCTTGAGAAACACACAGGGCACGTGTGTGTGTGCACCCACAGTTCAGCACAGGGTAGCGATGGAGGACCGGGTGTGGCGTGGCCATGCCGCCAGGAGGGTTTTTCTCCTCTCCGTCTGTTTCTCTGGTTGAGCACACAGGCCTTCTAGCCACCCCAACTCCCCCCACCCTCAAAAGAAAAAAACTGAAATCTTCGCAAACTTTTTATGCTATACATTTTCCATGAACTTTCTGAATGTATAAGACCAGGGGTGTGAAGACCACGTCCTGTGCTGTTTCCAAAAATGCTCTTCTTAATACGGCAGAAATAGCAGACTGAGCGGACGAGCCCGTGCCCCAGCCCGCAGGCGGGGACGCCTCCCCTGAAGCCTCAGGGCCACAGTGCAGGGGGCAGCGTCCCGGTGGGCACGTGAGGGCTGTGATAAGCAGCACCGCCTCCCCGGCCGTGGGCGCCGTTTTCTCCTCCCCGTGGGCAAGCGCCCTCAACCAGTGTTGGTGCTGGACGCAGTCACTGCTCGTGCCACACCCCCTGCCACATGGGCACCCTGCCCTCACCCACCCCTTGTCCTTCCAGCTCGACCCGCTCCCGGAGAAGGTCTTGCAGCAGAGGCCCAACGCGAACGCTGTGCGGTCGATGCAGAGAGTCCTGGAGATCCACAGTGAGTTGCCTCCCGCTGGTGTCGGGGGCCTCTGAGGCAGGGCCCACGGACCCGTCCAGGCCCATCACTGCAGCTGCCGCTCCAGCCCTGCCTGCCGCCCCAGGCCTGCCTGCCAGGGCCTCAAGGTCCCTGGCCTCTGAGTAGACGGAGGCTCCCACCCACAGCCTGGGATGTACCCCGGCCCCTCTCAGAGGCTGGAAGGGTCAAGGCTCACACCGTCTCAGTGTTAAGCCGCTCGGCCCAGTCTCCCAGAGGGCTGGCCCTGGGATGTGAGCCCTCGGTCTGCAGGGTCCCACTTGCAAGCACTGTCCCCAGGTGGCAGGTCCGGAGCCCAGGGCTGGCACCCAGCCAGGCCGTGCCCCACACGGTGTGGGGGACACTACTCCCTGTCCTCACCTCAGCACACTTCGCCCTGGGCCCTAGGATGGCTGTCCGGCCAGTGGGTGAGAACTAGAGACGAGCTGCGGCCACAGGCCCTTGTGCAGAGCGTGCCTACAGGCCTCCCGGCCCCGAGAAGCCACCTCTGCCGGCCCGGCCCTCGTGAGCCCCTCGAGCTCTGGCCTGAGGCTCCTCCTACCCCTAGCACATGTCACATGTCGTGCCCTGCCCCCTCCGGGCCCCCACAAGAGGAGGGCAGCCTGAGGGCCAGCAGAGGGCGGTCCTGCTCGGGAGGGCTCCGTCCCACCAGCGATGTGGTTCCAAACCTCCTGGCCCCGAAAGAGGTGTCTCTGAGCTTCAGGAGACCGCCCAGCCAGACGTGGCCACCACTGACCATGTGCTCCCCCAGGCAAGTACTGGCGCTGCCTGCAGCGGGTCGCCTCGGCCGTGGGGCACTCCCTGGTTGAGGCTCAGAACTGCGAGAACGAGGAGGCCGAGACAGTCACCGCCATGGCTTCGCTGTCCGTGGGTGTGAAAGCCGCCGAGAAGAGGTGAGCGCCCGCACCGGGCTAGAACAGGCCGACGTGGCCGCCCTTCCTGGGGTACGGGGCAGACCCTCGGGACCGGGCAGAGGAGCTGTGGGAGGCTCCAGCGGGGTACCTGTCTCCTGGTGAGGCTGGGCACAGCCCCGGGGGTCCACCCTCACCCACTCTTGCTTCTCTCTCCCTGGGCTGGGTCTCTACAGGCCAGACGAGGAGCCCATGGAAGAGGAGCCGCCCCTGCTGCTCTC